CATAATCAGATGCATCAGTACTTAGTCTTATAGGCAAATCGGGATTAAAATGCACTAAAATTGGAGCCTGTACCAAAAGTTTTTTAATTTGATTGAATGCAGCTTCACATTTTTCTGACCAGTTCCACTCATTGTCTTTCTTGAGCAGCATATATAAAGGATTCAAAACTTCAGATATATTCGATACAAATTTACCATAATAATTTATCAACCCAAGAAAAGATTTTAGTTCAGTGATACTCTGTGGCTTGGGAGCATCTTTTATTGCTGCAATTTTATCCTGACTAGTATGGAGGCCAGATTTATCAATTTCATGTCCCAAATATGAAATTTTTGATTTGAAAAAACTACACTTATCTATAGAAACTTTCAAACCCGATTGTTGTAGTATAAGCAACACATTCTCCAACCTAAGCAAATGTTCATTCCTATCTTTCCCTGTTATTAAAATATCATCTAGAAAACACACCACACCATCTAAACCTTGTAATAGTGATTCCATTATTTTTTGAAATTTTGCCGGAATACTTGCAATGCCAAAAGGTGCTCGGTGATATCTGAATAATCCCTTATGTGTTGAAATAGTTGTTAATATTTTCGAATTTTCATCAAGAAGAATCTGTTGATAAGCATTGGATAAATCCAATTTGGTGAAACAAATCCCATGATGTAGTTTAAGAAATAGTTCTTCAATCCTTGGAAGTGGGTATTGATCAATTTCAATTACCGGATTCACAGTTACTTTATAATCCCCACATAATCTTACAGAACCATCTTTCTTAAGTACCGGAACAATCGGTGTGCCCCATGGACTATAATCAACAGCCTCAATGATTCCAGCTTGTTCTAATCTTTTCAATTCATTTTCCACTTTATCCCTCATAGCAAAAGGTAGAGGACGCGCTCTAAAAAATTTCGGCGAAACTGATTCGGATTTCAACTTGATGGATATTTTACCTTTTTTGAACGATCCCAAACCTTTAGAAAATACATCGTCATATTTTTTTAATAAATATTTCAAATCATCTGGTATATCTAAGAAATCCATTTTATAAATCTGGAGATTGAATTTATTGAAAAAATCTCGTCCTAGTAAAGGTGGACCACCATTCTTAATCACATAAATATCCAAAGGGTTTTCTAAATTATTATAATATACATTAGAACTGAAATAACCTAAAGGAGTAATTTGACCACCATCATAGAGATTGAAAATCTTTTCAGTAGAATTCAAAACCTTGTTAGCGAAATGATCTTTCCAGAAATTTTCGGAAATCACACTATATGAAGCCCCTGTATCTAGATGAAAAGTTAATTTGACACCATCAATTGACAAGTTAATCAAAATTGAATTGGATTTATCTTCCATATTGAACAAAGAAAAATCAGATTCCATCTCATTAGAAATTGAAGTCTCACCTATTTGCTCAGGGTCCTTAGTATCCAAAAAATGTGTGGTATTCTTAACAAAATTAGATTTTTCATTTCTCTTAGGACACATTGGGCGCAGATGACCTTTTACCTTACAGAAATGACAAAAATATTCCCTATATAAACATTCACTTGAGTTATGACCTAGACGTCCGCAAACCTGGCATCTGTTTCCCTGGGAAAAACTTCTAGAGGTATTCATCTTCCTATAACTTCCGCTTCCTACATTATTTCTTCCTCCTGAATTCGCATACAGCATCATCGATTCGTTGTTGGGTGTATTCTCCATTGACTTGGCTGAATTAACCGCTGACTTCGCTGTAGCTAATTCTACCACCCCTTTAAAAGTAACAGTCTTCTTCTCTTCAAATAGTCTATCTTGAATATTACCAGGATCATAAGCAACCACGAAATGATCTCGCAAAACCATCTCTAATTCATTCGTTTCAAATAAACATGGTGCAGCTAAATTCCTTATTCTGGCTGCCCATTCCTTTGGAGATTCACTATTCTTCTTGGCAGACATATAGAAACTTTTTCTTGCCGCAAAAACTGCAATACTAGGCTTGAAGTATTCAGTTATGATTTTGATTAGATCCTTATGTAAAACTTCTTCCGGTTCTTTAGGTAGACATAAACTATGAATCAATTTATATGTTTCTTCGTTCATAGCATTCAACAATATTGCTCGTTTCCTTTTCTCATCAATTATATTATTAGCCAAAAAGAAGTTATCCAGTCTCTTCTTATAAATATTCCAATCAGAATTGAAAGCATCAAATTCTTTCAGATGACCAACATTCTCAACAGTTTTCTCGCCCATTTTCAATCTTGATTCCTTTTATTCTCGTCGCCAATTTGTAATGTCTTCAAAGGATCGAGAAATGATGAATAATAGTATTCTGAAGAAATATATTTTGATTGACAGGATTCAAATTATATAATGTATGATGTTTACAAAATCCTACTATACATTGTTTTCTATACAGAGCTTATTGATTAACGAAACTAAATAAGAAAATTACATATATACATATATAACACCTTGTAAGCCTTGACATCCATATTTTTAAGTTGTTTATAATCTGGAATATCTCTCATATCTTGCTAAATATCTAAAAAAAATTGTGTATCTGGGTCATATCTGATGCATGCAAAGTAAGGGGAGTTATCTTCTGTAATTTAACTTTGTATATATGTGTATGAATCAGATGAGCTTTTGTCACTTTTGGAATCACAATATACGACTCTTCAGAACGTTCTGATTTATTTGATAATTTGTATTTCCTTGTCGTAGTGCTTTCTGATTTCTTCGATAAATTCATTTTACTTGATTTTTCGAGATTTTTCCTCCTCGTGTCTCTGGACGTTTCGGCAACAAAACTGCTCCCGTTCTCAACATGAAAATGCAACTTCCAAAGAAAAATGTTTTGCATTTTTATGTTGAGAACGGGTGCAGATTTGTTCCCGAAACGACCAAAGAAACGAGGAGAGAAAATCCCAAAAAATCAAGTAAAATGAATGTTTCACCTCCTCGATTAACCTACAGACAGTAATCTTCGATAAATATTTTCCTACCGGTTTTGCCACCAAGTTCGACATATTTTTCATATAAACAGGTGAAAGTATACTAATCTCCATTAGAAAATCTGCACCATCTATTAATTTTATCAGATTATCAAATTCTCTGTCATGTGTGGTATTGACAACTCTAATCTCACTCAGTGATCCTCTATAATGTTTCCAATTTGATACAAAGCATTGGCTATGATACTTGACTTCCATGGCAATAAACAATGTTGGTCAATACTAGGTCAAACCTTGACTCTTATTCAAACGTTTTTTGGTAGCAAATACATTTAGACACATCAAAAATACTTCACATCAATTTCACTATAGAAAGCGTTTTATTCCTGACACTATTGTCTCCAGTTTTCAATATTCTTGTGCCAGAAGATCAATTGACATTTATTTTCATTGAAAATATCATCAATTCTCTGAAGTTCCACATCGATTTGCCTCGCATAGTTTTTCCCGAGGTTTTTTCTTATATTCATACAACTTTCGTTTTTATGGATAATTCTGTACAACGAAGGAGTTGACCATCTCCACAAATGAATTTTTTGACGACAAGTGGATCCATGATCTGGAGATGGTAGGTAACAATTCTAGCCATGTCACAGCTTTTTACCTCTGATTTCCCACAGGGTGAACGATAGAATTCGATTGGCACTCTACTACGAGAAGATGAGGGAATTACCAATTCACATTGCTCTAGCACTGACGTCACACGTTTCGCGGCTGTCTGATCGTTTGAACTCGCTCGTTGATTTTGGCGTTTTCAATAATTTTTTATACTTAAAATTGATGAAAAAAAATCTCAAAAAATTATTTCAAGGTATTCTAGAGCCATATACAGGGCGTCCCAAAATTGCTGGGACACAGAGCTACCACGTGTAGAGGAGGTCAAAATAAGTTGATTGGACCCAATTTATTCATGTGCCAAAATGTACCGTTTGTTCGTGAGAAGGTTTCAAAGTTCACAAAAAAATACACATTTTTGTACGCTGTTCAGGAATAAGTGAAACGAATTTGATGACATTTGGCAATAGTGTATTTCAGAGGATTACTTCCCTTTTGGTAATCGAAGGAACCTAAAAGAAATTGTAGAAGGGTTAAAACCACCCTCACCTCCTGACATTTTTTACAAAACTTTTTTAGGGGTCATTATACGGTTCTGAAATTTCTCAAGCTTGAAGACTAATCAATTATCTTCATTTTATTACTCTTGTAAAAATTTCGTATACCGCATAGTTTCGAAAAAAAAATGTTCTCTCAAATAATGCTATCAGAGTACAAGTTAAATTAAATTGTGATATAAAACTCAGTTGGCAGTGGAAACGAAGGCAAGTCGTGATTTTGACAGGAACCAAATTTATTGTCATTCAAGTTTGTTGCTGACGTTGTCTGTAAATGTAAATAAATTCTTTCATTTTGTTATTACCGCGAGTACCATTACCGACCATTTATCATTATTTGATTGTTGTTGTTATTTTAACTGCTATCAAATATGGATTTCTCTTATAATGACCAAACCGATATGATAGTTCTTGGATTCTGTCAAGGTAACTGTCGCAGAAGTGCCCGCGTATACCAAGAGAGGTATCCAAACCGGAGAATTCCGAATCATAAAACTTTTGCCCGAATTGAAAGACGTCTTCCAGAAACAGGGATGTTGAAACCAGTCAGGTTAGGTTATACAAAAATGTGTTTTTTTATGTGAACTTCGAACCCTTCTCACGGACAAACGGTACATTTTGGCAAATAAATAAGCTGGGTCCAATTACCTTATTTTGACCTCCATTACACGTGGTAGCTCTGTGTCCCAACAATTTTGAGACACCCTGTATTTCAAGATATATTTTTTTCTAGAAATGACTGGAAAGGCCCATTGACGAAATTATATTTCTTCACAATTTCAACTTGTCAAAAGGACCTTCCCGGAATTCGTCACCAGCTTTCGCCAGCTTTTGGACTATTTATAACATGTTACCGTTCGAATTTACCAGGTTGCAAAAGGACTTGGACGCCGCTAGATCCGGCACTGGGTTCTACGTGGACAAGGAGAACTACCAAAGACTGCTGGACGCCATCATGTCGGTGACTGGTGAGCAAGTTACGCACGAGGAGCTCTCGCACAAGAAGGCGGAGAGGATCAAAAACCTCGGTGAGTGTCGCCCTGGTTCATGATATGAATTGATTTGAAAATTATATACAGGTTCAACTATAGTCCCTGTACGTATTTAACAGTTTTGCTGTGATAAGAAAACGGACACTATGACAAGCAGTAACAGAAGGCATAACCCTAAAAAATGTAAATGACATAACCAATTTGACGGGCACTGACAGTTCATGAACGTACATGACATTGAATTATTTGAAAATTCAGTTTTTCAAAAATCAAAATGGTTAACTGTGTAGTTGAAAACTGCAAAAATAGAAGAGAATCATTTCATTGATTCCATTTCCTTCATAATAAATAACAGCTACAGAAATGGAAACAAAATATGAAGCGGCCATTGTAGAAATTGAGTTCAGCTAGCAAAATTTGCGAAGTAACTACCAATATTTGAATTTTTCAATTGAATTTGATGCATATTGAAAGGAATATTATCATTTCTCATTTCAATTTTAACATAATAGGTGCACATCAGGAAGATTATCGAAGACATACTTTATCCAATTCTGAAGAATTTGCACAGGATAAAATTCAAAAGGAAACCAAGATCAAATTAACTGTATTTTAGATCACAAGCAAGAAATTATCTAAGATTTAGAAAGCAAATATGCAAACATTCAAAATGTATTAATAGAGAATGATGAGAAATACATAAAAAAATCGAAGAAAAGGATGAACCGTTGAAAAATACCTTGAAACAAACAGACTCTGAAACGAGACTGAAAGTAATGAGAATTCACAGCTATTATAAGGAACCAATTTCAAATCTTGAACTATCTCATCAAAAATCTTTGGAAAATTGTGAGGAAACAGAATAAAAAAATGCAGGCAATTTTGAATCAAATCAAGACCCCAATTGATAGTTTCGGTATATATTTCAACCAAAATTATAGTCTACTTCAGTATTTAAAAACGCAAATCCATGAAATCAATGACAAATTTGAAGGTATTGTAAGTAAAGTTGCTATTTATGAGCAACCTGTTTCTCATAATTCGAAAAAGCTTTAGTCATAAAATTCATGTGTGGCGCATCTTATCAATAAATCAAGGTACAAACTATGACCCCATTATTTGGCCAGTGAGATGAGACGCCATTTCTTTATGAAAAGAAAGACAGAGAAAAGACAGAGAAAGAAATATAGATGTACCCTTCACCGCGGCTGTAGAGGAAAGAAGATCCGAAGTGCATGAAAAAGCATATCCATGTCTTTGTTCAACCAAACCTTCAAGGGCATTTTGAGAATTTGCGGTTATGCTTTCTGTCACTGTTTGTCATAGTGTCCGTACTCTTATTACAGTAAAACTGTCAGATACATACAGGGACTCTAGGTTCAGCAAATCGTTACATAAAGCCACCAACATAGACATATCAAAAGAGGGGAGATGAAATTGTTCACATTTTGGCCCGATCCAACATCGATTTCAGCAAAAAATTATGACAAATTTATGTGGATTGCCTTAGATCTACCGCCTGTGTTTGAAAACGAGGGAAACATTAATCATGCATTAATTAGATATTATACATTTTTATGTATATTTATTCTGTATGTTTGTTCCTTAATTCGAAATATGTGAATTCTGCTATTAAAATAATTAAAATTTTACTAATTTCATGATTACATCGAATTATATTGTATTATGGAAATAACTGTGGCACCCCTGTTTTGGCGTGTGTACTATGAGTGGCGCATATTTTTCTTGAAGTCATTCACGAATGTCGAAAGCAACTGTTTCAGTGTTGTTCTGCTGTGTTTGTTATCATTTTAGGAATTTGTGTTTCAATTGATTTTCAGTATACAACTATACAGGGTGTTTCAGATTTGAATGTTCATACGATACTTGCAGATAGGGAGGGACACCCTGTATAGGAGTATTAGGAAAGGATGACCTTTGACAACATCTCAGTCACGGAGAGATGCGGAGAGCAACGCTCGTCCTTTGACAGTTGGGCACATAATGAATTTCGGTTTTGAATATTCCTATTGGATGGGAAGAAACCACAGAACTTATAACCTTTATATTTTACGACTAGAATGTGCATCCAATATGGCGGACGAACAAATATTGCATCAGCTGCAACACTGTAAGTGAACCATAAACAGTCATGGCGTTAAAATTCGTGGCGTGAAATGTTAATGGACGCCAGTGGCTTATCTTGAAGATAAGGTATTATCATATGAATTTTCGGAAAATAAGATGACTACTTATAGGTAGAATTCCAATGAGAAATTCCGATGATATAAAAGTAAATAATTATGCTGCTAATTTGTCTGCACTTTTCATATCTGATCTTAGTTTTTAAGAAAGGAATTCACTGCATATGCAAATATAGAATATTTTTAAAATGAAGAAATTTCTCATATTATTTTTGCACATTCCATAACATGTTCAATTCTCATATTTCATGGTTTAACTAAGTAATTCATTTCACTATATCAAATCACTGAGTTCATTTCAGAAGACTTCTTCCATTTCAGATAGAAACTCAAAGGCTATATACTAATATAAATTTATGTAAATTTTGTCATTTACCTGTTTATAGAATTCACATTTCAATAATCTTGCTTCACTTTATTCTGCATTGAACTGGAACCTGAAGTAGATAATTTCATTGGACTGAAAAATATAGGGAATCTCAAAGGTACCACAAATCACTCGTAGAGAACAAATCGAATGGCCTTTTCCTAAGACTACTCTCATAAATTTCTCGAAGAGCTTTTATAATCAATTTCTGATGGATCAAAAACGAACAATTACATGTGAAGACAATAATGTTAATACATCCTCTGGAAACTCTGGGGCAGTGGTTTCAACAGCTTCAACTGAAAGCGGAAATCAAGATATAATGTCGGTTTTGCGTAAGGTATCAAAACTCACCCTGATGAATTTGGTCACAACAAAACCATCCTAAAATGAATTGATTGCCATTTCGAGTTTGACTGTATCCCAAGACCATACTTTGTAATTAGACTCAAGAAACCTCAAGTGAATCGCATGTGATAGGCATCAGATTCATCAGAAGTATTTAGATAGGTACTAATGGAACTTTTTTCTTCGATCTCATGTTCAACAAAGAGTTATGCAGTCTTGAACATATCACTTCATCACAATAATCAAGTATAATATTATAACCAAAGATCTAATAGGTCGCGTGCACGATGACTGACCCTGGATGTAAAATATTGAAACACAACCTCACTTTTCTGTGAAACATTGAAACACAACCGCACTTTTTTTATTTCTTTACAGATGTATCGAAGAATTGGAATAGTTTTCACAATATTTTGGCATACGAATCGTGTTTTTTTGCGCTATTCCTTTATTCATTTAATACAATCTAATACATTTCCTGATAGTTTCAAAGTTGGGCATGTAATTTCGATTCACAAATCTGGCAAAAAAACCAAATCACAAACTACAGACCAATCACTATCTTGCCCTCATCCTCAAAAATATTTGAAAAAATTATGCATATTAAGATTGATGATCACATATCCACTGTATCATTAGAGGAGCAACACGGGCTTATAAACAAAAAATCAACTGCAACAAATCTTTGTGTGTTTAGTGAGTACATTTCCAAAGAAATATCCAACTGTCAAATTGATACCATTCACACTGACCTGGCAAAGGCCTTTGATAAGGTAAATCATAATGTTCTACTAAATAAGTTGTTGACATCATCCTCATTTGATAAAAATCTGGTTGCATTCATTAAATCATATTTGACAAATCGTCTAAACTTTGTAAAATTCAACAGCTCACAGTCAGATAGCTTCATCAGTACCTAAGGTGTTCCCCAAGGCTCGATTTTGGGACCGTTGCTCTTTGTTATGTTTGTCAATGATATTGATGATTACCTCAAAGATGCAAAATTTCTTCTATATGCAGAGATAACTCAAATGTTTTAATGAAAATAACCTCAGTAGAGGATTCAAAAACATTTCAATGTATTATTAATGAGATCACTAAGTATTGCGATGATAATGACCTTCCACTAAATGAATCGAAATGTAAAATCGTCTCATATACTAGAAGAAAAAAAGAATTCCTTGTAAACTATACCATCAACGGTGTTGATCTGGAAATATTAGATGAAATCAAAGATCTGGGTGTACTTTTTACAAGGAATTTTTCATTCAATGAACATGTCAAGTGCCTTAGCAGGGAGTGCTATAGAAAACTAGGTTTTATAATGAGATCCAGTCAGGATTTTCAGTATCAAACTTGCATAATGCTTTTTAACTCATATATCAGATCAAAGTTGGAGTACTGTTGTATTATATGGAATCCTGATGCAGAATTATATTCTAAGAAAAGATTCAGAAGAAACAGCTGCTCAACAACTTTCAACAACTTTTTAAAACATGTGAAATTGATATCTGGACTATCTCCAAAACTTCACTTCTCTCTCACCTGTGATATATTCAAGGTAACTATTTTAATATATTTTATTGTTTTTGTTATTTTGATATGTAATGCTAAACTTGGTAAAACTAATTGTGATGTGACCTGAAAGTCTCTCTAATGTATAATGTATATAGTACTGTTGTATTATATGGAATCCTGATGCAGAATTATATTCTAAGAAAAGATTCAGAAGAAACAGCTGCTCAACAACTTTCAACAACTTTTTAAAACATGTGAAATTGATATCTGGACTATCTCCAAAACTTCACTTCTCTCTCACCTGTGATATATTCAAGGTAACTATTTTAATATCTTTCATTGTTTTTGTTATTTTGATATGTAATGCTAAACTTGGTAAAACTAATTGTGATGTGACCTGAGAGTCTCTCTAATGTATAATGTATATAGTTTTTAGTTTTAGCTTTAGTTAATTCCATTTTCTTCACCTACCTCCCTAACTGATACATTTTATTAGACACAGTCTGTTTGTAATCAGTATGGATAAATAAATAAATAGATAAATTCATGCATAGCCTTCTCATTGTTGCTGTTGTACAACCACCATTAAAATTAAGTCA